CATAGCGCTAAATGCTCACATGAAGAAACAGGAGAACAGTTATACCAGAGAATTAACATCACAGCTGAAAGCTCTAGAACACAAAGAAGCACACTCCCCCAGGAGGAGTAGACGCCAGGAAATAATCAAATTGAGGGCTGAAATCAATAAAGTAGAAACCAGGAAAACAATACAAAGAATCAACGCAACGAAGAGTTGGTTCTTTGAGAAAATCAACAAGATAGACAAACCTTTGTCCAAACTTACCAAACAGCAGAGAGTGAACACGCAAATTAACAATATTAGAAATGAAAAGGGGGACATAACAACAGACTCTGAGGAAATCCAGAGAATCATTAGGTCATACTTTGAAAACCTGTACTCCACAAAATTCGAAAATTTAAAGGAAATGGATGACTTCCTGGACAGCTATCAATTGCCAAAACTAAATCAAGAACAGATAAGCAATTTAAATAGACCTATAACCCCTATGGAAATAGAAGCTGTCATCAAAAGTCTCCCAACCAAAAAAAGCCCAGGTCCAGATGGCCTCAGTGCAGAATTCTACCAGAAATTCAAAGAACAGCTTATACCAATTCTTCTCAAAGTGTTCCACACAATAGAAGCAGAAGGGTCTTTGCCAAACTCTTTCTATGAGGCTTCAATAACCTTGATCCCCAAGCCACACAAAGATACAACTAAGAAAGAGAACTTCAGACCAATATCCCTCATGAACATTGATGCAAAAATACTCAATAAAATACTGGCAAATCGGATCCAAGAACACATCAAAACAATCATTAACCACGATCAAGTAGGTTTCATCCCAGGAATGCAGGGATGGTTCAACATACGAAAATCCATCAACGTAATCCACCATATAAACAAGCTGAAAAACAAAAATCACATGATCATCTCACTAGATGCTGAAAAAGCCTTTGACAAAATCCAACACCCCTTCATGATAAAGGTCTTGGAGAGATCTGGGATAACAGGGACATACTTAAACATAATAAAAGCTATATACAGTAAACCAACAGCCAACATCAAACTAAATGGACAGAAACTCAATGCAATTCCTCTAAAATCAGGAACAAAACAAGGCTGTCCACTCTCTCCATACCTTTTCAACATGGTACTTGAAGTCCTAGCTATTGCCATACGACAACAAAGGGGGATCAAGGGGATACAAATTGGGAAGGAAGAGGTCAAACTTTCACTGTTTGCAGACGATATGATAGTTTACATCAATGACCCAAAGAACTCTACCAGGGAACTCTTGCAGCTGATTAACACCTTCAGCAAAGTGGCAGGCTACAAGATCAACTCAAGAAAATCAGTAGCCCTACTATATACAGATGATAAAAGGGCTGAAAGAGAAATCAGAGAAACATCACCCTTTACAATTGCCACAAACAACATAAAATACCTTGGGGTAACGCTAACCAAACAAGTGAAAGACCTGTATCGTAAGAACTTTGAATCTTTAAAGAAAGAAATTAAAGAAGCCCTCAGAAAATGGAAAGATCTCCCATGCTCTTGGATAGGTAGGATCAATGTAGTAAAAATGGTAATCCTGCCAAAAGCAATCTACAGATTCAATGCAATCCCCATTAAAATCCCAGCACAGTTCTTCACAGACCTTGAAAGAACAATAATCAATTTTGTATGGAAAAACAGAAGACCCAGGATAGCCAAAACAACCCTGTTCAACAAGGCAATGTCCGGAGGCATCACCATCCCTGACCTCAAGCTCTATTATAGAGCTATAGTCCTGAAAACAGCTTGGTATTGGCACAAAAATAGACAGGTAGACCAATGGAATCGAATTGAAAACCCGGGTATTAACCCACACACGTACGAACATCTGATCTTTGACAAAGAAGCTAAAAATATACAATGGAATAAAGAAAGCATCTTCAACAAATGGTGCTGGCATAATTGGAGACTGGCATGTAGAAGAATGCGGATCGATCCATGTCTATCGCCATGCACAAAACTTAAGTCCAAATGGATCAAAGACCTCAACATAAATCCAGCCACACTGAACCTCTTAGAAGAGAAAGTGGGTGGTACCCTTGAACGAATTGGTACAGGAGACAGCTTCCTGAACATAACACCAGTAGCACAGGCAGTAAGATCAACAATTAATAAATGGGACCTACTGAAACTGAGAAGCTTCTGTAAGGCAAACGACACAGTCAGCAAGACAAAAAGGCAGCCCACAGAATGGGAAAAAATATTCACTAATCCCACGTCTGACAGAGGGTTGATCTCCAAAATTTACAAAGAACTCAAGAAGCAAGTCTCCAAAACACCAAAGGACCCTATTAAAAAGTGGGCTGCAGAACTAAATAGAGAGTTTTCAATAGAGGAGTCTAAAATGGCTGAGAGGCACTTGAGAAAGTGCTCAACATCCTTAGCCATCCGGGAAATGCAAATCAAAACAACTCTCAGATACCATCTCACCCCTGTCAGAATGGCTAAAATCAAAAACACCAATGACAATTTATGCTGGAGAGGATGTGGTGAAAGGGGGACACTCCTCCATTGCTGGTGGGAGTGCCAACTGGTTCAGCCACTTTGGAAATCAGTGTGGAGATTCCTCAGAAAAATGGGAATAAACCTACCACAAGACCCAGCAACTCCACTCTTAGGCATATATCCAAAAGATGCCCATTCATACAACAAAGAGGTCTGTTCCACTATGTTCATAGCAGCTTTATTTGTAATTGCCAGAACGTGGAAGCAACCTAGATGTCCCTCACCTGAAGAGTGGATAGAGAAAATGTGGTACATCTACACAATGGAGTACTATTCAGCAGAAAAAAATAATGGAATCATGAGATTCGCAGGCAAATGGATGACACTAGAAGAAACCATCCTGAGTGAGGTAACCCAGTCACAAAAAGAGAAACATGGCATGTACTCTCTCATATATGGATTTTAGACATAGATCTGGGGAGTGCCAGCCTACAATCCTATGGCCAGAGAGTCTGGGAAACAGAAACTTTATTTAGTGGCTGATCGAAGAAGAGGCAGACTCCCTTGGTTAAGTACTGAGCTGAACTCAAGAAAGCCAGTAACAGAGAGGGAGGACTGATGATCAAAGGGATTAAGACTGGGCTGGTTTAACCCCCAGAAACAGCTGACCAGACAAAGGTTAACTCTTGAATCCCAGGCATTAGCCTGGGAAGCCAGCATGGGACTGATCAAGACCCCCTGAATCTGGGTGTCAGTGAAGAGGCCTAGGGAATCTATTGAGCCTTGGGCAGCAGATCAGTACCCATCCCAAGTATACACACGGACTTTGGACTCCAATAGAACAATGTGAGGTGCACTCTCACCCAGAACTCTTGGGAAAGGGTCTAGGCCCTGCCCTATATGAAATGACACACTATGGACACCCCCATGGAGGGCCTCACCCTCCCTGGAGAAATGAGAGGATAACGGGGGGGGAGCACGGGAGGAAGGGAGGGAATGGGAGAGGGACCTGGAACTGACTTGTGAAGCAACCTTGATTCTTATCTAAATTTAAACTGGAAAATAAAATAAAAAAAAAAAGAAAATTACAAAAAAAACAAAAAACAAAAAAAAATAGCAAAGGTCTAAAAAAAATTTGTCTAACTAGAGAGACTGTGTGTCAAAATCATCAAACAATGACGTGTGCATACAATATTTATCTATAACTAATTTAAACATGAGCCCTAGAGGCCTACTTCCTAACCATTTATGAAAAACGTTATAGAATTTGACAAATTAAAAAATGTACACATGGGAGTTGATAGGTATTCAGGTTCTTTGATGGTCACCACAAACTGAGAGAGTTACCAAGAACATGATGAATCACTGTTTGAAATGTTTTGTTTGTATGGGAGTTCCAAAAGAAATAAAGAACAGACTATAGGTCTATATTCAAACAAGGCAAAAAAAAAAAAAAAAAAAAAAAGAAAAAGGGGAAATTTTAAAACATCTAACAATTTAAGCGATATTCTACTTTAAAAATCTTCCCCATGACTGCCTATTGTGACGACTGGTACTAGTGTGGTGGAACTGACTTTTGAGGGACCAAGGAACAAATATAAATGAATGCTATTAAAAACAGCCACTGCAGGTGAATAAATATGATTACGATTTCTAGGTTAGATAAGTTTGGTATGTTCACTTTCACCAATATTCTGAAGTTATGTAGGAAAAGTCCCTACTGTGAAATATAAGTTTAAGTTTTAGGGATAAAACACCAATGTCTGCTCTTAGACTGCCACAAGAATATCAGACATACACAAATTCAATCACAGAAAATGAGAGACAATCTAAAATGTTAATGAGGAGCTGAAGAACATTCAGAAATTATTTTCCTTACTTTTTTGAAAATAATGTAAACTTAAAGAAAATAATTAAATTATGAAATGTTTCAGAGGAACCACACAATAATACAGCAATCTCTATCAGAAACATATATTTAAATATAGCATGAAATAAAGTTCTATTTATTTCTTGGAAGACAATGCAGATATGAATTTCACACCAGAAGCAATTAAATACATAAACCTTTTTACTACATCTCCCTATATAGAATTTATCCCATTACCACCAATATTAACAATGAATCGAATTGAATTTAAAAATATGATTTGATTTTAGAGAACAATGTATTAAATAAACATAAAACATTAAATTGAAGGTACAACAAATGATGTTTTCCAGTTTATACATGAACACATATCATCATTAAGAATCTGGTCACCTTTCTTACTTTAAGTCAATTAAATAACGCATATCATAAGGTAGACACAGCCAATGATTTATAACTCTGTCTGTCTGTTCTGTTAAAGATCAATTCAGGAATCTTTGTGATACTGGGAAAAATACTCATTGTCTACTTGTCAATGAAGTATATAAAACAATTAAGATATATTAAATAAAGAAGATGTTTTATGTAAAAATCACTAACCAAATATATATTATCAAAGTTCATCAAGGTTAAGATAGAATTCAAAACCGAGGAAAACAACCCTTACCCTATTGGGAAATCGACATCATCACCATGAGCTGTCATGTGATAAAGTCCAAATTTAGCCAGTTTAACATGACCCTACAATGAAAACAGAGAAAGTCACTATGAAGTGTCTTAATATAATTGTCAAAGAAAATTATCAACATGTTTTATATAAATAAAATAACTGAATGAAAAAAGAATAAAAAGGAAACATGACTGGTCGTAGGTATGGTGGAGGAGAAAGTTTATTGTAGATAAAAAGGAGAGCATTGCCAAAGGCAGAGTCATCTGGGCAAATCCAGAGTGGACATAACCAAACTGAGGTGGGCCATGTGAGGGGTGGGGGGAAGGAGAGGAGAGAGAGGGAAGAAGATGCAGCAGGCAGGAGGTCCAGAGGAGAAGAAAACACCAGGTAACCAAAATGTTAATTATACAGGGAAGGACAGCAAAGGAAGGGCAGTTCAGCTGCTAGGTTGGAGAAGTTTGGGGTAGAGGTCTGGGTATGCCAGCCAGGAGGGCCTTGTAACAGGTAGGGACTGGGGTTAAAGGGAGATCCTGATGGCTAGTGTCCACTTTGATATATTAAATAGGCACCTCAGCCATTTGTCCTAGTTTGAAATCTAACAATAAATGTTATACACTTAAATATTTTTAAAAGATTTGCTTTTATGTAAACACACACACACACACACACACACACACACACACACACACACACGTCTGAGTGTATGACACAGAGTGCCCGAGGACACTAGAAGAGGACATCAGATTCCTTGGAACTGTGTTAGAAATAGTCATGTGTACTGCCTGATGTGGGCAGAGGGAGCTGGACTCAGGTCCCGAGCACAAGCAGCAAGTATTCTTAACTACCAAGCCATTTCTCCAGTCGCATACATACGAAATACTTACTACCATTTAGGATTTTATAAAACACTTATTTTAGGCAGAATCATTTGTCAAAATTTAGTAATCTTTACACTCATTACATGTATATAAATGCTTGTAGGTATCAAAATGTCTAGAGATGACTCAGTGTTAAAAAGCACTTGTTGCTGGTTACTCTTACTGTGAAAATTTCAGTTAAAAAAAAGCAGAATATTGAAACATTTCCTAGATTTCTACGTATCTTTTTGTTGTTTAAGAATAACAATAATAATCATTAATGTGAGCTCAAGAAAGGGTAAATATAACTTTAATGTCTCTTAAAATGTTCCTTTTTAGGCTTGGGTATCTTTTTGTAAAGTTGATTTTAGACATGGTTTATCCACTGAAGAATTATTCAAAATTACAAATTGTGCTTTAAAATAAACTTGCTTGATTATGGCAATGATATTTCACTGCTATGAACCAGAGATTAATGAATGCAGATTTCTCCTTCAAGATTTTTAATGCCACAGGGTAGCCACATTAAACTTTAAGACTCAGAAAATAATTATATAGGAACAAATCCCCCCCTAAGTTTCCCAGAGGCTGTTTCTACACTTATGGGAAAATTAAATTACAATTATTTACGAAAATATGACACTTTGCTACCCATTAGTGTGGGGGGTTTACTACATTATTCTCTAAGATTTCTAAAAAAAGAAGAAGTAATCACTCAGAAAAGGGGACTAGGTATGAATAGATGGCAAATAATATCTATGAAATAGAAAGAAAGGGAGAATCACCAGGTAAGACAACACCATCTGTGTGTATAATAATGGCATTCCTTATGAACGACCAGCACTGTTGTCTAAAGATGTAAGGAACACCCTGAGAAGCCATGAGATATATCCTTAATGGTTTTTGTCATGTACTGGCTATTACAATTCACATAAGACAGAGAAAAAACATTGAAAAAGAAACATTAAGCTAGAAAATAAGCTGGGTGTAGTGGAGAATAATCCATCAATATAATTTTAAAAGTGTTTTGTTTGTCTGACACAAATATAACATTTTCATAAAGTCATTACAAATATTCTGAAAACATTAGTCTATGTTCCTCTGATTATTGGAGGATTTCAGTAGCTTTCATTCTCAAGCAACATAAAAATTTCTGTTATTAGCTGAAAATTACCTTTCGATCCAACAGGATGTTATGAGGAGACAGTGCCCGGTGTACTATGCCATGCTTGTTCAAGTACTGTAAGCCCTGAAGTACTTCAAATGCTATGCACAAAACCTTTGTATAACTACAAAGAAAACAAAAAAATCAGAGATCAATTACAAGGTAAATACAGTCTGTCTTAAGGAGTAAATTGAGACATAATAAAAGCATTCAGTTGCTGGGCGTTGGTGGCGCACACCTTTAATCCCAGCACTCGGGAGGCAGAGGCAGGCGGATCTCTGTGAGTTCGAGGCCAGCCTGGTCTACAGAGTGAGTTCCAGAACAGCCTCCAAAACAATACAGAGAAACCCTGTCTTGAAAAAACAAAACAAACAAACAAACAAACAAAAAGCATTCAGTCAAGCTTTGTTGCTCCTCTTCCATTCACAGAAAGTAGAGCATGCACATCTTCAAAATATCTACCTCACTTGGAGGTGGTGGTGCACACCTTTCATCCGAGCACACCTTTGAGAGTCAGAGACAGTAGGTCTCTGTGAGTTTGTGGCCAGCCTGGTCTACAAAGCCAGTCAAGTAAGTGTGTGTGTGTGTGTGTGTGTGTGTGTGTGTGTGTGTGTGTGTGTGTGTGTGTGTTCTTATACATATATTTATGTATGTATATGTGATATATGCATACACATATAGATATATATTTACTTCTAACTATTTTGGATTTCCTGATTATAACAAAGCTAATATGCTACAGAAACTTACAGTTTGGGCTACAATAAAAACCATTTTTAGTTTTCCCTGGGAAAGGTTTTAATTTGGGTGGTGTACACTTTTGTAGCAGAAAGAGATGCATTTGCTACTGACCAGCTTAGTGTTTTACCAAATTATCACTAATATTTAAAATATCTGGACCAAATCAATGAAAACCACCAATTCTGTCAAAAAAAAACTATGTCCATGAAAATAGAATATACTTTATATACTATATAAACATTACATATTTCCATATGAACTCATAAATCAACATCCAGTAATTCATGATTTATCAAACACTCATTTTAATTTGTGGCTTATCCTCTCTAAGCCAGTCAGAGAGATGCCCATCTCCTTTACCATTTTTTCCTGTCTTTCTTCCCTGGGTTTCTTTAGTCTGGACAGAAAAGTAAAGAGATATCATTCAATTCAACCTTCCAACTACCAATATTTTTATTAGAAGGTTTCTTCTAGTCATGTTTTATCCTTAAAAATTAATTCTGGAAGTAAACTTTCAATTAGCTATATAGATACTGAGGCAATCAGAGATTAAGTGAAATTATTAATATTTTTTTGAGACAGAGTTTCTGTGTGTTACTATCCTGGCTGTCCTGGAACTTTGTAAACCAGGTTGACCTCAAATTCACACAGATCTGTCTGCTTCAGCCTCCTGAGCACTGGAATTAAAGGCCTTCAAAACCCCTAAGAATTTTTAAGTAAGAAACATAAGAAAATTAAAGAAGAGCAAATAGCAAGTAATGGATGGTGATGTACACACACCAATTATTATGTTAAATGCTAAAGTGCTACTTGGGCAACTTAAATCTGTTAATAATTGAGGAAACACTAGAAAAGACCTAGGTTATAGGAAAAAGAGTGATTAACAGATCGGTGGTTACCATGGGCGTTGGGGACTACAAAAAAGCATAAGGAAAGCTTGTGGGTATTGGAATGGCTCTATTTATACTTAATGAGACGTTGTTTATCAGCAGCTTAGACTAAACCCTATGCTATGAAAATTAGGCCTCAATAAAATGTACTTCAAAATAGAAAAGCGAATGAATTTTCTTGGAAAATGATTACTGAAACTTGACCCTCTTTCTGAAAGTGAAAGAACAAGAGATAAAGAAGCTGAAATATTCTCTTCTCTTACACCATTTCAGCTCATGATGTTCCCCCACAACACCCACAAACCCTCATAGGCAGAGAACCCTTACAACTCCCAAACAACATAGCCTATTGTTTCCCCAGAACACCTCTCAGTAGTTGACGGTAAACCCCTTTTGCTGAAGAAACAGCACACTTACAACATGGGACTGGATCTAACATAAGAGTCTCCTTCCTGTCAGGGTCTAGCTTTCATAGGACCAGGAAGTACTGTGTAAGCTGCCAAGAGAGGGACACAACTAATAACCTACCAGATATGACACCCATGAACCATAATGAACAGCACAGCATGATACATGTAGAGGTGCAAATCTTGATGGTAATCAACAGCTGTGTAAGTGGACATAAGGACCACTCAAGAGGAGGAGAATAATGTCTAGTACTGAAACCTTAGTCAACCAACCCTAGTGGAACATATCTACAGCACAGCTCCATCATGTAGATGGCTCAGGAGAGATTACTAAAGAAGGGGATGGAAAGATTTTGATACTGACTAAGAAGGGCTGAATACACAAGACCTGAAAAATGACAATATCAACAGATATGCTAATGAGGAAGGGGTACATCTCACGGGGACCCAGTCTTAGTCAGAGAACTACAGGTGACTGACTGCTGAGAGAGGGAGACTTAGCTTCTCTGGGAGATGACTGCCCTTATTAGTTATCTAAAGTAACTTAGTCAGCCCTAAAGTCATATACACAGAAAAAAACAGCAGCTGTATTTATTACATATATTTATATTTAAAAGTGATCATTTAAAAAGAGGCTATCAATTTAAAAATGGGGAATACAAGAGGTGCTGAAGGGAAGAAAAGAAAGTGGAAAGTGATGTAAATATATTTTAATTAACAGTTAAAAAAGAAAATGCTGTTGAAAAAAATGCAGTTTAAGCACCTGATTTGGCTCTATAAGTTAACTTTCGCTTCTCTTATTCTTTCTCTCCACTCCCTCCCCTTAACACATCAGTCAGTCACACACTCACACACACTCACACACTCACACACACACACACACTTCACAGCAACATAAATCAATGCCATATTCAGCAGTGACACTAGAGGTCCTCAGCTGCACAGTGTTTCAATACTGATTTCTTATGGAATTGGAACCAAATCTTTAATTTTGTTTTCATTAAACCAACTTTTAAACAGCTGTATACAGAAGACTCATTCTACTTCCTATAGGGTGTTTTTATAAATTGATACTAGATTTGTATGTCAAAAATATCCTCCTGTTAAAATGAAGGGGTATGTATCAAAATAAATTTTATTCATAAATTTTTAAAAACTAAAGTTCATGAACTCAGTTACATTCTTGGCTACTGCTTGAGACTATATGGGAATCACAGTTAATGGGCTCAGTATTTTCAAACTGAATCAGACATGCTTTTCTGCTTCTTTATCCACTTAGGGATTAATTTATGTTGAAACAAGAAATAAAAGGAAGAGGAAGTATTACTGTTTTAAATACTGAGGACAATGGTGCATGACAATTTTGGAACTTGGTACACTAGTTTTGAGAGATTTTGTGTGGGGGGGTTGTTTTTGAGACAGAATCTCACTACAAGATCCTTGCTGTCCGGGAACTCCCTCTGTAGACCACTCTGATACTGACCTCAGAGATCCATCTGCCTTTGCATCCTGAGTGCTGGGACTACCGGCACATACTACCCTTACTTGTTTTAAACCTGTTTTTCTTAATATGGCAAATAAGTTGGATAATGAAATACTTTTTAAAGCAATGTAATTATAATGTAATAGCAACATAAAAATATCTAATGATTAACAGTTCACTTGTGTGCCCTGGCACATGGACTCCATCACCCCAACAAACACAAACAGTGTAAGGCCTTATTGAAATCACACAACTCCCAAGACAGAATCTTGTAAATAACTAACATTGAGCACCAGTGTAAGACCAAAATAAACCTTTCTTCACTTAAGTCACCTGCCAGACATTCTGTTAGGACAACAAGACAATAACTAATACTGAACATCAGTACCAAGAAGAGGGGTCCCCATGATAAGCCTGGCCATGCAGGATTTGTTTGTGGGAAGAATTTGTAAGTTTGGAGTTACAGGCTAGAGAAATCTGAGAACGCCAGATGGACAGCTTAACATGATTCTGATGGGAGTGTGAAGGACCAGAATGTTCACAGAAATAAGACTGTAAGGGTTCTCCCACCTAGTTTCAGAGGGAACACGCACTTTATTGGGAACTAGCCTAGAGGCCATTCATGTTACCCTGGCAAGCCATCTGGATGTGTGCTTGCGTATGCTGAGGACTTGAGTGTGGTTGAATTAAAAAGTAGGGGGCTATATAATCAAATGTCTCTCTCCCCACCAGCCAGTTCTCAAATTACCACCCACAGACTTACAGTAATTGTAAATGCTAAGCTGATAGTTCAGGCTTATTACTAACTAGCTCTAACACTTAAATTAACCCATTTCTATTAATTCATATTTTGCAATATGTCTCATGGCTTCCTATCCTCCATGTCTTGTTTCTCCCTGGTGGATGGCATCTCCCCTGACTTCACCCTTCTTCTTCCCTTCCTTGGTTTAGTTTTTCTGCCTAACCTTGTCCTGCCTGGCTATTGATCAGAAAGCTTCTTTATTAAACCAATCAGAGCATAATTTACACAGTGTACAGGAATATTTCACAGCAGGACTATTTGTTTAGAGGAGGAAATTGCAAGACTAGATAGCATTCAGACTGTGGTGTGGCTACATTAACTAGATAGCATTCAGACTGTGGTGTGGCTACATTAACTGCGTTTAGCCAGATTTACAGTCACAGCAAGTTTAGAAAGCGGAGCAGAAAGAGGAGCCATTGATGCCCAAAATGTGCAGTTTGGTGAAGAAGTGGCCATGAACCAACTTAAAGCCACAGACAAGGTGAGCATGGACAAATCGGCTATAATTGTTACAGTTCCATTAATGAGAACCCATGTACTTTCTTTACACTTTGCATGGGGAGAACTGTAAAGATCTCACCCCTGTACAGATCTGGGTTATAAAACAGAACGCCACTTACAGAACATTCATTTGAAAGGACAGTGCCCCCAGTGTTTCTCCATGATGAACTAGTAGAAAACAATTGCCTAGGGAATACTTTCTGAGACTCAGTGGTGAAGGCACACAGATGGCACTGCAGCAATGGTCTAGAGGTACCGGACTACATTTTAAGCAATGCAGAATTTACCTCATCCTACAGGGTAATTTGTGTAGGCTTACAGAATGCCAAGAGAGAAGGAGTCATGGAGGCTTGTTCAAAGGTTCCAGAAGGAAAGCTGGTGATACCAGGTAATGTGTGGCAGGGTCATACTTCTTACAAGGTGGCCTCCTAAAAGGCTACTACTATGTGAAGCTATGAAGGTCAACCTTGTGTTGCTATGTAGACCTCAGCAAGATGCTGAAGATGATGACAGCAATGTGGTGCATCTTCAAAGGAAAGTTCCAGGTACCAATTGAAGGCAATCCAAGAGAAAGTGCATGCATGCTGCTGGTGGGAAGACCAGGGACACAGCAACCAATCTGTTGGGCTCTGCCTGCTGTGACAAGGAGCCTTCTGTGCCAGATGGAGCTAGAGAGTGTAACATCTGTCCTGCTGTGCTTCAGTCTTGCTGTAGGCTATGGGTTTGTTTGTTTTTTGTTATTTCCCCCCATTCTCTTTAGAATGAGTTTGCTTACTCTGTGCCATTTTATGTAAGCAACTTAAAATATGTTTTGGATGGGCCTCATAGGCTGGAGTCTCAGAAGTGACTTTGTTTGAACAGTAAAATTTTGGTATTTTTGAAGCTGGAATAAATGCGTTTTGCATTAGGAGACACCCATTGGTTTAAACACTTGGTAATTAGCTACTGTAACTATTTTTTGGAGACTGTAGGAATAGTGGTATAATGACTAGAGTGTAATCCTGTGTAGTGCTTGGGTAAACTGTAAATCAGATTGTTTTTGAAGAGAACCAGTGTTTCATTGTATCCATATGCTGTGATACAATACTCCTGACAAAAACAACTCGGAAGAGAAAGTCTGACTCGCAATTCCAGTCTTTAGTCCCTCGCGGCAGGAAAGTCACAGTGACAGAGCCTGAGAGACCTGGCTGTGTTACACCCACAATCAAAAACAGAGAGCAGTGGATGAATGCATGCCTGCTAGAACTTGGCTTGCTTTCCCCTCTCTCATGCACTCCAGGACTCCCAACCCAGGGAATGGTGTCACCCACAGTGACACCACAGTCCTCCTACATCAATTAGCATAATTAAGATAATCCTACAAGACATTCTCAGAGACCTTGGTCCCAGGTGATTTTAGATTCTGTTAACTTGACAAACCACCAATTCCCTCCAGTATTTGCAATGTTTCCAAGAAGAGATTCTATCAGATTGTGAGAAATGGAGGCCAGGGAAGGGAATCAGCGGTCAGGACTGCTGAAATAGATTTGGAACTCATTCATATAGAAGTGTTAACTAAAACCACACATGCTATTTCCTCAAATCAATGATCCATGACATTTCCAAAGGCCACTGCATAAGCCAAGACACACATACTGTCAGCAAACCAAGGGGGAAACAATTCTAGACTGTGTAAGTTCAACATGTTTTTTTTCACCTTATAAAAACCCTAATCCTTTCCATATATATTTCCTTTAGTATCAACCAAAGGTAAAACGTTAAGAGAAAACAGATGAAGTATAGTTAGCTACTATGTGACATAAAAAAGGAAAGAGAAAAATACTGCTGATTAGTACTCAAATAATACTGCAAGTATAAAATTCTAATTATTTTAAAGAATCTCTCATGTACTTTTAAGATTTAAAAGGATCCTTTAATATAAAACTTTCAATATTTATTTAGCTTATAAATTCAGAATTGGAGAACAGGGTATTTTCAATGATATGCTAATATATTTGGAACATATCACTTATTTAAAAGCATTTAGTTCTTAAAAATCATGTGATATATGTGTTTCTGTCTTGGGTATGTACACATGTGACCACAGGTGCCCATGGTATCCAGAAGAGGGTGACTGTGGAGCTGGAGTTGTAGGTAGTTATGAGCTAACCAAGGTGGGTAATGGGAATTGATCTCTGCAAAAACAGTACCTGTTTCTAACCACTGAGCCACCTCTCCAGACCCATAGGAAATGCTTCAAAAATTGAAAGAGAAAAACTTCTTTGACTACTGAGCTTATATATATTATGCTAAATTAAATAACTCCTTTCCCCTCAGATTCACATGTTTTGCAATGAAACTTTTACAAATTAATAACCAAAGATTATTTGTAGAAGGTACAAAAATAACTTCCTCTGTATCTGTTAGGTTGGGCATATTTATCAACTCAGTTTTTATTTTAAAGTAACCAAAGTTGAATATTGTAAATCTAGAAAGTTATCAATTGGCAATGAGATACAACAATGGAAAATCAACTTTCCAACCTGAACACTGAATAAGTTTTCTTCTCAACAAACAAACAACTTGCTAAGATCAAAACACGTGGAAAAAACATGGAATGGTTTGATAAGAGGAGACTCCAGAAGTGATTTGCTACACTTGAGAATGTTCCAAATCTAGCTTGCTTCGCTCCATAAGTTTACAAGGTGAGGAATATGCACTAAATAGCAGCTAACGATCGCTGATCTTGTGACAGATCGAAAGCCTCATTCTCATAAGAGTAAAGTAAAACACATGATCGATTCCTCCTCTAAATGTCTCAGGGTCTTTAAAAACAATGTATACTGTGTTGTTCCATTAAAGTTAGTATTTTATAAATTAACAACTATGTCTGTACTCCCCAGTTTTCCTGATGTAAAATAATCAGCAAAATTGTGTTCTAATATATCGGTGAGAATAAAGTCATCATTCAATAAGTATGGGTATTTTTGTCATAAAATAAAAAAGTATTTGTGTCATAAAATTTTCACCTTTAAAATAACACAGACACACTAAAATCTTTTTACTATAAAATCTCATAAAAAGGCATCTATGAGAACATTACTGCAAATACCATACATAATAGTACAATGCTGAATATTCTTCCGTAATATTTGAAACTGAGGAAATATGACCAGTATTTGCATTCAATTATCTAGCAACAGTTCAATTTTGTGAAACAGATAAAAAAATAAGCCATAATGATTTGTTTAGAAAGGAGTGTAAGCATATTTTAGCAAGTGATAAGATGGTTGCCTAGATAGAAAATCTTAAGGAATGTGCAGAAGAACTATTGGAACTAACAGTAAATTTAGTTCAGAGGTGGGCCAAGCAGACTATGACCAGAAGCAGATGTGATGATGTGGCAAGGTTGTTTGTATCACCCATGGAGGCCAGAGAACAGATAGACATCAACAAAACAACAGTGGCAGGAGCACCAAAAGGAAGACTGAAGAGATCTAGAGAGCCACAGAGGGCAGAGACAGCAGGGAGCAAAGACGTCAAGAGATGGAATACAGAGAAGGCTGTGTAGAGCCACAAGCAGGAGCAACCCCATTAGCTGGTAGACCTAGCCCCAGATTGCAGTCTAGCCTCACTAGCCACTGGAGATGTGTAACTAATCTCTGTCACACAACCAAGGATCCCTATACCCTAGGCCCAAGAGCTTTAACACTCTCCATGAGAAGGACTTCAGAGGTCAACATAAGAGGCCAGACAGGAATTCCAAGTATAGGTGTTTCATGCTGCTGTTGCTAGATCCCAGATTTTCACTGTCTGCTAAGCACAAGCTGCCAGCCATCAGAACAGAGAGCAGGCCACCTCCACCCAAGCACCTAGAACCTCTCTCTCCTGCATCTTGCTGCAGCACACTGTAAGCAAGTTCCTAAGAGAAGCTTCAGGTTGGCCACCTTGGTAATAACCTTGACCTCTGGACAGTTTGGAGCTCTCCTTGTGTCCCTTGCCATCATGTTTAGCAATCCAGCCACAGGTTCAGGTGAAGTCGATAATTACAATGTCATAAAGACTCGGGGTGAGCAATTTTTTGTTAGTTTCATATAACTTTATTTATACATCAAATCTCTTATGATTTAAAAAATAATCTTGAGTAAACTTGTGAAAAATTGTTAATAGTGTACTTGTAATAAAAAATTAGATACACTATTCTGGCTAAGAAAACATACATTTCTTGAGTCACTGAAATAACTGAATTAAATTCTGTCATTAAGTTCTACCCCAGTCATGATTACTACTTTCCTCAACCTGGCCTTTACTTAAAGTTCAGTGCTCACCTGGAACTATTGGTGTATACCAAGAAGTTACCATGTCCCCTTTCAGGAAAATAGTCTTGGTTAGTGGAGTAAATTCCTAGAACTGAGATGTCCAAGTTTTCATATACGTACACTCCACTGAGGAATTCTTTCAAGTACTTTGTAGAATGTTAACATTGAATTTCTATGTAGTAAATGAAATGAAGTTCTTAAAGGAAAAACCCACATTGAATTTATCATTACACAATAACAAAAGAAATCAGTGCCCCTCAGTGTCTAGCTACAATGCTCTCTGCTTGGCTGTCTGTGACGTATTCACAGTACCTTACAGGCTTCCTTTCCCGAAGCAGGTCTTCCAAACTCTGCTCACAGTGCTCAGCCACCACCACTAGTCGTTCTGAGAAAAACAAAGCAAATGCACTATAACAACAAGATCATACAGCCCTCTGACGTTATTGGCATATAACACAAATAACAGCTTTCAAAGTATTATTCATTTTCACTCTGTGCATGTGTGATCAGTCTTCCTTACTTCTACCTGGTTTGTTCCTCTCAAGTGTCCTCTATTGATCAGCACCCCATCTACCCAAACTGAAAGGCTACCCATCTTCTACCCACAATTCATCAGTCTTTTTGCTGTGCTTTCTCCTCATCTACTTCTTACTGAAAAACAATTACATTTTATCCCAACTCTGGACCTCGCTTGAACCATACGTTAGAGCCCACCTTAGGCTTCGGTAGAAAACTCACTGTCAGGCTGGATTTGCAGCTCAGCTGGTAGAGTGCTTTCCTAGAATGCACAGAGCCCTGCACTGAATCAGCAGCACTTCATAAACCAGGGTAGTGCCACTCACCTGGGATCCCAGCACTGAAAGGTTGAAGGGGGAGACTAGGACTTACAGGGCCATCCTTAGCGATAGAGCTAGTTAGAGGCCAAGGAAAACTGGGAATGTTACTAGCAACTCAAGAGAAACAACAATGTATAATCTTTCCCTTTCTCAAACCCGCACACTGAGTCCTGCTTTTTCTATTTCCCACTTGCTTCCAGAGCCTACAGGGTTTATTGTACCTGCTGCAATTGGGGTCTAAGCCAGCATTATCTCATTAGGTTTCCATGAGAATCTCGTAACTGTTCTTTTCACCTGAATTAAGATCTTCCTCCCACACGTTTTCAACTAAAGCCCAAGTGATAGGACAATTAATCTGAGTAAGGAATTCCTTCTCTAGTTTCCAGTATATATTTTTCTCGTCAGGTTTTGAGCACTCTCATCCTTTGGGGAATCAACTTAACCTTTTACAAGAACTTCTGCATTGCATTTATTCACTGGGGTATGTGTGCACATGTGCTCACACCACTGTGTACATGTGGAGTCAGGGGAACTTGCAGGAGTAGGATTTTTCCTTCCATCTTGTGGGTCCTTGGGATCAAGTTCAGGTTGTCAGGTTTGGTGGCAAATGCTTTATCTATTGAGTCATATTGATAGCCCTTTTTAAAAAAAAGAATGTATTTTGTGTATTCTGTGTATAAGCAGTTCACGTGCATGTATGCCTGTATACATGTCCTAAGTGTGTGTTTGGAGGTCACAGAACAACTTGTGGAAGTTAGTTCCCTGCTTACATCTTGTGGGTCCCTGGGATCAAACTCAGGTTACCACCTTTTCCCACTCAGTCATTTTCCCAGCCCCCTTCATTTCAAACTTCTATCTCCTGCCATGTTACAAAGTGCTTAAAAACAGACTATCTTTTCCAGGCTCAAATGTTAATTTTACTATTCATTAGCATAAGACTTTGGGAATCTCTCTGTGCCAGTGTCTCCTAAAGAGGAAGAAAATATTGTCCACATCATAACATTGTGATAAGGGTGAAATGAACTCACATACAATTAGGACTGAGAAGATGATGAAAACAATAATGCCCATATCAGAGCATTATAATGAGGGTGACATGAATTCACATATAAATAGGACTGAGAATAGTTCATGGCACAGAGCCAGCACTGTTAGCTTTTACTATTATTCGAGATTCAGGTCAGTAAACATGACTTCCTCAGTCAGGGCTTTTTTAATCTCCCAGCATTGACTCACTAGTCTTAATGTATTTTACACATTAGTTTTCTTTTGTATCACTTATTTAACTCTAAACAATGTACATACATTTTTACTTGGTGCCATTCTTCTCTACTTAGATAATACATTTTGTGATAGCAGGAATCGTATTGGTCTTGTTTGGAACTGCAATACAGGTGTCTATAGTTCACCAGAAACATAGGTACATACTAAAATTATGTATGTTAAACTATGACAGGGAAAGACAGGGAAAAGGTTCCTCCAGCCTGTATTCTTGCTGAGGCCTTTCAGATTTAACTACTATTTGATCTCCTTGATGGAGAGTTCCATGGGAAATTACCCAACTCTATTCTGGGAACCCAAACTCTGCACATCCCAGATAACTCAGTTTCTGTTACACTGCCTGCTTGTGCAAACCTCCTCCTCCAGTTAGCTGCTCATGCTAGCTTCTGCCAAACTGCTTGCTTATAAGAACCCCATCCTCCCTGTACCCTCCCCTCTACCCTGAAGGTACTAAGCTGAATGCCAGGATGGGTACAGTTTTCTCAGGGCTACACCTGGATCCCTGAATATGTGGGTCTAGTCCCAGAAGGCCAGAATAGACTTTCAATTGGCTATAAACTGTGGCTGAGTGTTCATCTCTGGTGGGATCCCCATAACAAAACAAATTAGAACAAAGGTATACTGAGGACATCAGAAATGATGACAGTCATCTAAACAGATTTGTTCTGTGTTCTAAGCACACACTTATGTTATAACCAGATATAACATTTTAGTAGTACTGAAATTAATATATAAAACATATCAGAATCTATTAAAATATATTTATCTCATTAACTAGCCATCTACAAGTAGATGTGTGTATGTCTTTCTATCTGTAAGAGACTTCTATACTATGTTCCATTAGGCTGCAAATTTTCAGGCTTCCACTGGAAACACCTTCGGGTGTCTGTCAAGGCTTTAAGATTCTATAGAATTTTAAACACTGTTTTAATAAGGTAGAGCTACAACTCTTGGCAGAAAAGCAGTGTTTCTCCCAGAGGTAAAGGCGTATATACTAAAGGAATATTTCAATTACACACCTCTTCTTTTTTCTTTTTCGTTGTTTCAAGAACTCATTAGATGTATTCATTCCAAAACTCTGGATCTGTTTGAAAATAGTTTCTGTTGGTTATAGAAACAGTCTGGCTGAACAGAATAAACTGCTGGTTTGGGAAACATAATGTGCCAAAAAAAATCAGCAACGGAGTGGCATTATTTATAAATAACAAATAGGCAAGGCTGGAGACATGGCTCAGGGGTTAAGAGAGCACATTGCTCTTGCAGAGGACCTGAGTGAGGTTCCAATCACCCACATTCAACATTTCACAGCTGCCCATCATTCCAGCTCCAGGTCTGGAGGCACCTACACTAATGTATACATACCCTCCCACACACATACATATAATTAAAAGTAATAAAAATATTAAACGCTAAAAACAAATGTGACATTAAAGAATGTCTAAAAAGAAAAATTATCTTTTCCCTCCTCATAAAAGCATTGGATGTGAAGTTTCACGTGGTACATTTACGTAGTACTGTGGGTTTTCAGTCAACGCAAAGAAACTGAAGATTAATCAGGAAAGATAACAGAAGCTGAATAAGAAACAGGCAGAAAAAGAGACATGGTTCTGGAGGGATGGCTCTGGGAATAGAGGTGCTCGTCATGCAAATCTAATGAATTCAGTTTGATACCTGGAACTCATAACTGTGGAAAGAGATGAACAAGTCTACAATATTGTCCTCTGACCCTCCACATGAACGCCCCAGTTCATGTGCCCTGACAAGTGTGCATCCCTATTCATACATGTGTATCATGCACACATACGCAGTCACAGAATATAGAAGTTCAAAGCAGAAAGTTTTAAAAATTTTAACATAAAAATGAATTATGAATGCCTTGTAATAAGGTGTTATCAACATATAGTTCCTGCATAATTTCTGTTATTCAAAGTAAAAACTAGCTTATTGGAGACTAGCTCATCAATTTAAAATGTGATTATTTACGTAAATGTTTAAACAGTAATGCCAATAAAGAAAAAATGACCCACAAATACTGTTAGTACCAGGGTTCTGCAATTGTCAGTTTTAAAAGTCAGATATAGCCCTCAGGTATTCAAACAAACTCCAGTTTAGTCAAATCCACAAAGAAAGCACATGAATGACTAGGTTTCTAACCAGGGCCCTTAAGAAAGCTTACCTAGATAATCTAAGTGATCCTGATTCACAAGTTGAATGTCCTTGAGACAGACTGAGGACTCCGCGAAAAAGCAGCAGCCTCAGCTCCTGCCCAAATGTAGGGTCTCTGTGATGACATGCCCTGTGGTCTGGGCTGCACCAGCAAGAATCATACATTCCAGTCCTACCACACAATCTCTTCACACACACATGCCCTACAAGTTCTGTTCTGTGCTATAACCCTGACAGATTCAGACATTTAGATTGGAATTTATAGGCTATTGATACAGAATAAATTATACTATGTCTTTAATAATGTTATTTATTCTGACTTAAATTTCAAATCTATGCAGCAAAATAATTTTTCTCCCATTTCATCTCAGTAGCAGTCACAGAAGCATTTCTAGGTAATCAATACCAACCACAAAGGACCACAGTACCACTTAAAATCTTCACTGCGATTCCAAACACTGCTGATATTTCAACTCAAAAGAGGTTAAACTTGATAAAAATCTGTATATTCAAGCTTTATTGGCTTCATTTAAATATATTTCATTGGCTTTTAAAAAATAAATCGTGCTTTAAGTTCTAATATGATGTGTATATTCTAGAGATTAGAAACACCATCCTGCTGATTTACTGAGAAATAGCAACTCCAACCAATTTGGAATGAGCTCCAGAAAGCACTGACTGTCTGGCTTCTGTATGAACCTAACATGTGAAGGCATAATGTAAGGAAACAGACCACATGTCACAACTCCATGTGCAAAGAAAGGAAGTGGTCATGGGAGAGCCACAAACAACAAAATGTGTTACAGCAAGACTGAAAAAAAAAAAAGGAAAAGCATAAATCCAAAATCAAACTTCTTCATGAGACCATGAAATGCTCTTAAACCACAGTCATTTACTATTACATCACTGAGAAGTATGTGCTGATCACTAAGGAGGTTAGAAAATAGAAACTTCAATTCTCCAATTAGATGCAACCAGAATGACTAAAATTCTTCAGAATAAGTGTATTTTCAAATAAGCACTTATTGTAATTCCACTATTAACTCCCTGTGCACACAAAATTTTCAGGCACTGAACACTGCCAATATAACAAGAAATCAAACTCTCTAGTTTGACAGTCATTGACAATGTCAGTCCAGGCAGGCATGCTTATGATATAGGAATCTGTAGTGTGTCCATCTCCGATGTGGCCCTCTTTGAGAGAACTGCTGAGAATGCAAGGAAAACAGGGTGACTAATGATAATGTTGGTCAGGGCAGGAGCTTAAGCAGATAGTTGGGCTGCCTTCAAAGACCAGGGTGGTACAAAAGGGGACCCTTTAGTGTCTAGCACTGATAACCAAATGAGGTTCACAGGCAAGGTTAGAGACAGTGATCCTCACAAAGGTTTCTGTTTGGCCACAGTTCAATTTCCGTGCTGATAGGGGCCATTTGGTTAGAGGAAAGAAATTGGAGCTTCACCTGCTTGCTTAAAGGCAAGTTTAGGACATTCGTACGTAGGAGCCTAGACTTCCACTGTTTCAAAGCCAGCTTTCAGTTCTGCCCTCCAAATGTTTTCCCATAGCAAGAAACTCTTAATAGTTTGAACCTGAAAGAGGAAGCCAGGCCAGACAATAATAATCCTTCACTAATATTTGCTGAATCAACAAATGAAAGGCAGCTTTACACCATCAAAAGCTCTAAAAGTAACATATATTTCAATATCTGTAAGTCTATTTACATTTACATACACGTATAGTCATGTGTGCACACATATATAAATATGAAAATCAAATATAATCATCAACTAGGTAATTGCCATTTTTACCACTATTTCCCCCCTGCCTCTCACTAAGCTTTATAAAAGCTTCCAAATAATCAATGCACTAGGTATACAGTAGAGCTTTACAGTACTAAGGGACCAAACAGTTTGGATCATGTTGCTATGGCATGATTATAGACTTACAGTGACTTTGAAAGTGTTGATCACATAACAAAATCTATTTTTATATGTATTAGTGTTCTGTCTTTTCTTATTTTCTTCTATGCAATCATGTTCTCAGCCTTAATTTCCTTATCTGTAAAACAATACTGTAATTGTTCCTGTTGTTTAGTAGTATGATGAAGATTTTTAAATGCTATAAGTAACACCTAGAGTATTGCCTAGTATGTAATAAGAACTCATAACGAGAGCTACCATTACAAAAAAGAATATTCTGCTAAACAAATATTCCCAGAGCAAATATTTTTATTTATTTATTTATTTGTTTGTTTGTTTATTTATTTATTTATTTATTTATTTAGGTTTTTCAAGACAGGGTTTCTCTGTATTGTCTTGGAAGCTGTCCTGGAACTTGCTCTGTAGACCAGGCTGGCCTCGAACTCACAGAGCTACATCTGCCTTTGCCTCCTGAGTGCTGGGATTAAAGGTGTGGGCCACCAATGCCCAGCTGGAGAGATGGCTCAGCGGTTAAGAGCACTAGTTGCTTTCCCAGAGAACCTGGATTCAAATCCCAGCACCACATGGCAGTTCATACCTGTCTATAAGGGGATCTGATGCCTTTGTCTGGCCTGCAGGTATGCATGCAGACAGGACACTGTACACATCATAAATAAATAAATCTTAAAAATTAAGATTTCCAGAGAAAATAATTTTTAAAAGAAATGAACTAGCCAACTTCAAGTATAGTTTAGCATACTTTTCAGAAAAACAAAGACAAAGTAAACATTTATGAAGGTATTCACCATTAGGTAGAAACATATTAAACAGATACTGTTGCAATTTTAAAATAGAGTAAGATGCCATGCAACAGAGTTCAAGAGGAGGGTGTTTTTTTAATTAGGGAAAGGCCTTGTAAAAAGCATAAAGGGGTGGGGGGGAGAGACTGGCCTCCAGGGACAGGAACAGCAAAAGAGAGGAGAGAGGCAGAGAGACAGACAGAGAAAGAGAGAGAGAAATAGAAACAGAAAGACACACAGAAAAACAGAAAGAGAAACAGAGAAACAGAAAGTGAGACACAGAGAGAAACAGAAAGAGACACAGAGAGAAACAGAAAGAGGGAGAAAAAAAAGAGGAGGATGGGAGGTACTCAGGGACCTTTTAAAAGGGAACATAGTGAATATGCACAGATGGTGCTCTTAGTGGCTGCAGCTGAGGGCGTATCCTGATAGAACCCCCAAAACAGGTCAGTACAAATGCCTGAATACTAACCAATATTTTATAGAAAAAAATGGCTGAATGTCAGAAAACATAAATGTTTGACTTTGATGCATTTTTATATCTCCAAATTATTTCATGTCAGAAAATCAGGCACATTTTACTAAAGGGCATTTAAGATAATCCTAAGACATAGAACTTCAGCTTGCCATTAATATTCCTAAACGATTATAGCACGAAAAGCACTGTCATCATCAGCAACTTCAAGTGTGGAGGAACCTCATCATACGATCACAACCGCAGCGAATACTGCTACCGAGCATTGGATTTCAACCAACTACTGTAGTTCCATAAAAAAAAAAAAGCATACGCAACAGTAAGAAAATAATGAATCCCTTTTCATTTTAAAAGTTAGTCAAGTTTAGTTTGAAACATAAAAACATAAGAGCAAGTTCATGACTGCATGTCAATATATATTAATTTGGTATTTAAAATTGCATCTTGAATTGAAGCAGTGAATATAAAATAAAAAAAATCAAGAACTAAACAAATCAAAACCCAAAACTTACCATGCTTTCCCCTAGAAATATCCACATACTGGCACAGTCTAGGATGGGTGATGGTCTTAAGGATTTGAAAGCGACCTAAGATTTTGATGGAATTTGGCGTAAGAGGAAGTCCGTTGCTTCCACAGACATCATGTGGGAGTGCCGAGGCAAAGAACGTGAAGGCACCCATGTCAGCATCCTTCAAAGGAAACATGTCTGGAGCCTGGGTCCTCTCAGATGATCTAGAAAAGGAGATAATTGCTTATGACACACTGACCCAACATTAATCCAGTATTGTCTCACTTGAAAATTAATACACAACTCAGAAAAAAAATGCCACTCTGAACTAGGAAAAAATAAATTTAAGAATTTCAAGACAATATATGAAGGAAAAAGACATCCAAGGCTAAGTTTATATTACAGTTCAAAATCAATTCAAGGATTTTCAGTCATGGGAGAGATGACTGAGCTGGTAGGGCATTTTGGGGGCGAGGTAGAAACCCTGTGCAATGGAAACCCCCAGGAATCCACGAGGGTGATATTAGTCTAGATGGCTAGAGATGGGGGAAATGGAGTCTGAGCCAGCTATCTTCTATAACCGGGCAAAGCTCCCACTGGAGGAATTAGGACACTAACCTAGCCACAAAACTTCAACCTACAATTTGTCTTGCCTGCAAGATGTTCCAACTTGAAACCCATGCGTAGCTGGTTGGTTTTTTACTCTTTGGGGACTCCCTGCCACCCAGCTCCCAAATAAACACACACCTATTCTTACTTATGAATGCCTGGCCTTGGCTTGGCTTGTTTCTAGCCAGCTTTTCTTATTTCAATTAACCTGTTTCTCTTCTTCTACATTTTACCTTTCTTTATTCCATGTCTTTTCTTCCTTACTCTGTGGCTGGTTGTGCGGCTGGGCAGCTGCCCACGCCCCAGCGGTGTCCTCGCCTTCTCCTTTCCTTGCTCCTCCTCTTCCTTAGATATCTAGTCTCTCTGCCTGCCAGCCCCGCCTACCCCTGCCTCTGCCTAGCTATTGGTGTTCAACACTTATTAGACCAATCAGGTGTTTTAGACAGGCACAACAACACAGCTTTACAGAGTTAAACAAATGCAGCATAAAAGAATGCAACACATCTTTGCATCATTAAACTAATGTTCCACAGCATAAATGAATGTAACACATCTTAAAGTAATATTCCACAACATCCTCATCAGGAGAGGGAGTCCATGCCTAACCCTGCCTGAATGATCAGGAGTCGGAGACTGGTTAATCCAGGGACTTAGGATAGAACCACATGACTGCAAAAAAGTCAATGAATTAATTCCTAATGTAGACTGGAGCTAAGCACAGTCATCATCAGAGACGCTTCATCCAGCAAGTGGGTGAGGAAGGATTAGAGGAGTTGGAGGGGTCAAGGACACCATAAGAAAATGACCCATAAAATCAACTAGCCAGGGCTCACAGAAGGTCACAAAGACTGAACCAATAATCAAGGAGCCTGTACGGGTCTGAAGTAGGTCCTCTGGATATATGTTACGGTTGTGTATGTTGGTATTCTTGTGGGACTCCTAACAGTGAGTGCTGGGGCTGTCTCTGATCCTTTGCCTGCTCTTGGGACCCTTTTCCTCCTATTAGGTTGCCTCATCCAGCGTCAACAAAGGGACGTGTTTAGTCTTATTAAAACTTGATAGGGCCATGTTTGGTTGATATCCCTGGGAGGCCTCCCCTTTCTGAAGGGAAAGAGAGCAGGGACTAGGAGGAGAGGTGGGAGCAGAAACTATGGTCAGGATGTAATATACGGGAGAAGAATAATAAAAAGGAAATAAGGAAACAAAAAGTTAGAAGATTTCCAAATTATATACCTGCACTTGGGGAGGGATGTTTTGTTTTGTTGTAGTTCTTGTTTTGTTTTTGATACAGGATTCTCATCTATCACAGACTACTCTCTCCTCCACTACTCTCTCCTCCCTATCCTTGAACTCCTAATCCACCTACCTTTACCTCCCCAATACTTACATAGAGCTGTGTGCATAGCCACATCTGTGACTTTCAAGTGTAGAGGAAATCGGGTACTACATTTTCATATTGGTGACGTTCCTCTTTTCCCCAAAGCTTCACTAACCTACCATCCTACTAGTGTGAGGACTTCAGGAAATGACTATAAAGTGTGTACAAAAGACCCCCATCACAAGCAAGGACACAGTGCGGAGCAGTTAGAGGTCAACTTGGCCCCTTCAGATTCAGGGGTTTCACCTTTGAGAACCCGAACAATGCTAAGCAGAGTCAAAAGAAAGGCTGAAAGTAGATGATGTGAAATACTGAAGTATTAGAAGAGTCAGTTTTGCTACCAGCTCCCCAATATATATAGTCATTTATTTTCCAAGTATAAAAGAAAAACAGATAAGAAGGAAGGAAAAAGTAAAAAAAGAAAAAAACAAGGAAAGAGGAGTGAAAGGAAAGTCATGTGAGTGAAATGAAGGTGGATTATAACTGCTATAAACACTGGGAAAAGAGATTATGGGGGGAAGAGAGAAAAGGGGGAAGCCCAGGGTGGGGGAGTTCTCCATTCTGGAATTTTTAGTGCCCCAGTTAAGTTCCAGTTGTTCTAAAATGAGCATTAAGTGAACAATCTTCTCCATATACAGGAAGCATCACACAGTCAACCTTAACTCCTAAACACAGAACTTAAAGAATCATCAGGTAGTTAAGGAGAGACTACAGGATAAAGATAAAAATGAGTGAGAAATGATGCAAAATTCAAATGTATCTAGGGGGTTTGAGAAAAATTACATCCATTATGTAAAGCAAGAGAATAGAAACTAACACTTCATGAGAGTACAGAAGAATGGCCAATACTCATGAGAAAACAAATCTCTTGGTAATCAAGAAACTATGCAGTAATGTCACACTAAAATTTATAGCTACAATGTAGTAAAAGTCAATAACTTACAATCATGTAACTATTTAAAAAATCATTCACACAAAGGCACCACCAAACAGTTCAAGTTTCCATACAAGACGCATCACCCACACACCTATTATAAGCACATTTTTCCAGGGTGTAATTTAATAAAACAGAAGGAACAAACAACAGATGTAAACAAGAAAATTACACATGAGTTAAGCAAAAAGCCATTGGATTCTAAGGGAAATACCTTCAAGCAGAGGCATGGAATGGGGGTTTCTACAGATGCCATAGAAAAGTGTGAAAACTTGCTGAAGAAAGGGCATGTACCTTTTCTCCAAAGAGAAACTTAAAGGCAAACAATAAAGGGAGTTTACAAAAGAAAAAGGTATAAAAATGTGTCCAAACATAACAGTCTACTAAAAGCAAGCACACTTACTGTTGGAGGGAAAGAAAGAACTGAATTAGGTTTACTATTACAAAAATTCTCATGGAGTCATGATATTAAAACAAAAGGAAAATGTGATCTAGCACACTGCATGGGTCTGTACTGAGAAATAATTATAAATTCCTACTCCTGTGAACATTTGCTTTCAACACATAAGACAAACAATACACTTAGGGCCTATAATCAACCTTGACAATGTATAAGTAAAAGGTCCAGCAGAGGGAAAATGCAGGTGTCCCTGGACTATACCAGGTATTAGTGATAGCTCTATTTGCCAGACTACACCAGCTAATTAGTGATAGCTGTTTGCTTACCCATGCCACTTTGAAAACCTAAAAGCCAGGTACCCATAGCCACAAGCAACTGTTGGCCAACCAGGAAACTCCAGACTGCCTCAATCTGGCTTGGGCACCATTTTGACAATTCAAGTGAATTTGTGCTCTTTATAACAGAAAGGATACACCCATTAGTGCCACCACAGATACAATTATGTCCAATTAGGGAAGGAAGGTGGTGTCATAGTTGCCACAAATTTCCCTTTCCTATGAAATGTTTTGATGACAGTTTAGCATGTATGCAAACCACTTCATACCCCATACCCAGGCCTCAGACTTGCTCTGTAAGAAGCAGTTAGAGCATGGCTTCCCTCTCTGTTCATTAGCAGCTACATAAAATCTCCTGCCTGCTTTCAGAACCCAAGAACCTGCAAACTTGGTAACTAAAACAGGTGAATTTGCTTTCTGTGGTGATGAGCAGAGGCACTACTATTCTCAAGGAGTCAAAACAGATTTTGAAAAGTTGATATGTAAATAGGTATGATCACTATTAAAAAGGCAATAGTAAAAAGGACTAGAGCCTAAATTTCTTCAAATTTTTTGTTTGTTTTTTGAGACAGGGTTTCTCTGTGTAGCCGTGCCTGTCCTAGAAATTGCTCTAGAGACCAGGTTAGCCTTGAACTCACAGAGATTGCCTGCCTCTGCCTCTGGAGTGCCAGGATTAAGGATGTAAACCACCACCACTCAGAATTTTAATTTCCTGTTCAATAGACAGATCCCAAACTACAGAAATTATATCTAATGCCAGGCTTGAAGTGGTAGGAAAGATGAGACATAACTGCAGCATTTTAATATTCAATTTTACAACAGAATATTGGGTTTTCAGTTATAGATCTTAATCACATACAATTGAAAAATCAAGCAAGTGCTTACGATTGAAAAACACAAAACCACTAGCAAGCATAAAAACATTCAATTATTGCTCTCTACTTCTCAAGTGCCCATGAAGCTCACAAAACAGAAAACAGACACACGCACGTGCTCACACTGGGTGGCTAGCAGAAAATGAAAAACTAACATGACGCGGTGAGAGATCACAAGACGAAAGCCTTGTAAGCAGATGGCTTGTAAAGCTTACTCAGGGAACACTTTGAAAGTTCCGTAAGTCTGGTGTTTCTGTAGCTGCTTGAGGGCCACAAACAAGTCACTCGCACTGTTTCAATGAGCAAGGCACAACATAAACTCTGAAAGAGCTTGTAGACGAGTGACAGAAATGAGCGGGGAAAGTCAAACACTGGGAGGAAAGAAGCTGATTTTTCAATCTGGAGCAAAACCATATTTGCATTTCAAGACTCGGTGAACTTCGGCGTCAGGGGGAAGGAGGTTTGGAGGCGAACGCAGCTCCCTGGGTGGGTTCTGCCGGCGACTGCAGACTGGCGGGGTCACTCTCGGCACCGGACGGTCCTCGGTCCCGCCAGCCCCACCCACGGCCACACAGAACACCGGGACCCGAGTAGTACCTGCCTGAATCTGGGGGCGCAGAGGCTAGGGGCATGAGCTCCTAAGCGTTGTAGTTGTGCCTGGCGGGGCTGCTTAGTGGCCCGTGCTCTGCATTTCAGGCGCGTCTACAAGAGGCGGCTTTTGGAAGGTGACAGCGGGAGCGACCAGCCTGGGCCCGCCCGGGCCGCCCAGGCTCGCAGCTCAGAACCCGGCCTGGAAGCGCGCGCCGCGCTCCACTGACAGCGCCCGGCGTCCCCTCCCCCCCTCCGCCGCCTCCGCGCGGCCGCTGCTCATGACGTCACGGCCTCGAGACGCAACCCCGAGGAAAGACCCCATCCCAATTTCCGGCCGCCTGTCCCTGTCTCTAAACAGGCCGCAAAAATGTAGCGAGCGGGAAAGAGGTCAGGGAGGGTCAAAGGGAGGAATGGAAAATGAGAGTGTAGAGTGGCCCAAGAAGAGGACGAGCGCAGGAAGCGGACGGCTGCTGTGGGGTAGATCAGTGAAATTTTCAGGCATTTGTCGGGGACAGCCCCTGGGGCCTCCCCCCCCCCCCCCCCCACGCCCGCCGCGGACTGCTTCCGGTACCCGGCTGAGGCTGCTGAGAGCTGCGGGTCGCCGCTTCATGTGAGTGTCGCGAGAGGGTAGCAATCCTAAGTTCTTCTTCCCATTCTCACCGGGGAAAGAGAACCTGTGCTTGCACTAGACGGAAGCGTGGCCGTCCCCCACCCACGTGCCCCTTTGGATTCGCCCGAGTTTTGGGGATGAGTACGTGGCCGAGGGGAAAGCATGTTCCTGGAGGCCGGGGATGGAATCATAAGCTTGTTTGCTTTTGAGTGTGCGAAGGATGCCCAGTGTTTGTACGTGGGGAGATGTTAAAGAGGGAAATTCATAGATTCAGCAAGTATTAGAAACGCCAGCGATCACTGTACTCCAGGCAACGTTTTAGTCTTTAGGTAAAGATCCATAAACAAAGTAGAAAGAAATTCCACAGAACGGCCAGAAATTCCAGGTTTTAAAAAGTGAGATATTAATATTGTTTTACTTACGGGTGTGCGTGCCTTTCTGACTGAGTTTCTGTGCAAACTTGTGGCCATGGAGTCTTGAAAGCATCAGGTACCCTGGAACTGGGTTACCAGTGATTGTCCCTGATGTGAGTGCTGGAAACTGAACCTGGGTTCCCTGCAACAGCAGTAAGCGCCTTTCACTGCTGAGTGACCCCCTCCAGCCCCCATATCATACTTTATAAATCCCGATCAGAAAAAGTATTAACAGTAAAGAAAAGTTTATTATTTGGTACTGTAATGTGGCCAAAGAAGAAGGTTCCCAAGGAAAAGATGGCTTCCTAGGAAGGAGGTGACACTAATGAAATGAACATGCAGACAAACTTCAGGAATTGCCATCAGTCAGAAGGCCCAGCCATTCCAAAGGCCATGAAACAGAGACTTAGCAAAATATCAGGGAAGCCTGGGGGCTCAGAATTGAGAGAAGGAATCAAAGCTGGAGACAGCAGGCTGATTATTGGGTGAGGTGGGGGAGGGAAAGACACTAGAAGGATTTCAGTAGCCAAGTGATGTTATCCAACTTCTTGAGGGTTACTCAGTAGACTGAGAACAGAAGTGAGAAAGGAAATCAGGAGTCTTTTGTTTCCTCGAAGGAAATATGATAGTGACTTTAAGACAGGTATTAAGGTGTGTCTAGTCATATTCCTGGGGTACACAAGGGAACTATGAATGGCCATTTATTTTCACGAAGTAGTCTTTGGGAAACACTTTAAATGAATTGTATAAATTTCAGAATGATGAACGTTAAGATTGTGGTTTTGCAATTTGATACTTGAACGAGTCTAAACAAGACACGTGATTTCTGCAAGTCTATAAAGATGATATCTTACAAGATAAAGATTGAATGTCCATTAAAGTGCTAATTCAAGAATGCAGGTAAAATACTATTCTTGAATTAGAAGTGGGTAAGATAGTGTGATTGAAGCTTGGTGTGGTAGCATAAGCCTTTAATCTCAGCACTTAGGAGGCAGAGGCAAGTGGTTCTCTGTGAGTTTGAGGCTAGCCTGGTCTATAAAGTGAGGTCCTGGGCAGCCAGGGCTGTTACATAGATAAACCAAGTTTTGGAAAAGCCAAAACAAACCAAAAAACTGAACTAATAATGAAAGCTCAGTTGTACAGTAACAGTCACAGGACGCCTAGCCATTGAAGGAATGGATTTGCCAAGGAAAGGAGTGAGAACAGTCAGTCCAGGAGAGCAAGCTTCCTTCTTCTGCGTCCCTTACGTAGGCTGCCCCAGATGTGACCCAGATTAAAGGTGGGTCTTCCCACTTCTAATGATTTAACTAAGGGGAAAAACCCTCACAGGTGCACCCAGCTGCTCATAGTTAATTCCAGATGTCATCAGGTTGACAACCAAGAGTAGCCATCAACATGTGTCTAAGGAAGGGGTAAAGAGCATTGGAATTTACAATCCATGTGTAAAGGAACTTCAGTTGTATGTGCCATTGCTGTGTACAAATGAAGTTAAAACAGTAGAGCATCTTATGGAGCCATTTTATACTTGATGGCTTTGTAGATGTGCTGAAATTGAGTACTGAGAGGTATACTAAGAAAAGCATGTTTTTACATAAGAGGTATACTTAGATATACTAAGAAAAGCATGTTTTTACATAATCATGACTCTGAAGTAATGAAATTAGGAATTCAGAGAATTGGAGGGGCATTGTGTAGAGCTCCTGTGCTATAAAGTAAAATTCAAAGTTTGCATGTACCATTTCCATTAACTTTAAAAAAAAAATGTTTTCTAACCTTTAGAACCTAGTGCCAGAGTAGTTGGTAGTTAAATGAAATCACAGGCAACTTGGATGAAGTAGGACTTCCAACTAAGGAGATGCTGAGGTGATGAGAAATGCTGCGTTCTACTTTTTTTTTTTAACTCTAAAGTCATGTATTTGGTATTGTGTGTAAGGACCATCATATTTTTAATTGCTGTCTGTGTTTCATGAGATATGATCATAAGTTAGGATGAGATTGATGTCATGAAACAATTTATATAATGCCTTGCCAATTTTTTATTAGTAGTAAAGAAAGCAGGTCTTTGTTTTCATTAATAAAGTACAAAAATATATTTGATCTATTGCCTTCTCTGCCCTTTTTTCTTTTTCCATAAAGTTCTTATGTGTTCATGTACTGTACATACAGTTAAGTGTTAAATCTATTTTTTAATCTCATATTTTTAACAAATTGCCATAGAAAATAAGGAAGTGTCTTTCAAACCATCTAGACAATACAAGTTCCAATAAATGCTAGTGGATGCTGTCCCCTTCAGGTTCCATCATTAATTAGATTGGAAAATGCTTGATAATTATGTTTGGAGACATTACAGCATGCTCATTAAAACAGCTCCAGCATGAGATAGACTGGAGTTTCAGTCCTTATTTACTACATAACTATATTACTGGGCAAATTAATTTTAATTCTAGTTGTCTTCTGTGTTTAATAGAGATGCAGCATTCATAAACGATCCATGTACTTATCCAGAAAGTACTAAATATTCTATAGGCGTCACATGTTATTCCTATTATCATCTGTGGGAAATGTTGTGCATATTAGCATATTAAAAGCTCTAAACACACTTTTTTAAAAAGTCTATACAAACTGATCAACAGTGTTCAGGCAACAGGTGAAGAAAAGGCCAGGTGTAGGGGCAAGACAGCAGGTGAAAGGATCCTAATATGAAGTTAACAAAGCGAAACAGGGAGAAGTTGGACACATAGTCTGTCAAGTGTGTTTTTCACTTAAGGTTTGTTGCCTATAACCTCCTTTTCTAGGAATTGTATTTTTCCCTCATTGCTGTATACTGCTAGTAAACACTAACAGAAACTTACAATCTGTTGCTATGACAAAACATTGGCCAAAAGCAACTTGGTCAAGGAAGAGTTTTATTTCTGCTTACCCTGTCAAGGTAGCAGTGAAGTCAGAGCTGAAACTCCAGGCAGAAACTCCAGGCAGAAACTGGGGAGGCCTAGTGCATCAGCTAGGTCTCCTGCGCTTCATTGAGCTGCTTTTCTTACATAGCTCAGGACTGACTACTGCCCAGGGATGGCACCAAGAGCAAGAGCTCCTTCACGAGAGTTCAGACTGCAGTCTAGTCTGTTTGATTCTGTCTAGTTTCCTTTCTCCAGCACTCTGTTCAGTAAGTTCAGATCTGTTTAGTCTCCACAGTCACATGGCATTTCCTGTTTGCAGATTGAGTATACTAAGATTTTCAAGTGGCTTCAAAGGCCAGGACAACTCAGATAAGTTAAGCTCCCTGTCTGAACTAGTGCAGTGATACTCAATGGTCTGTATGCCGAAGGCAGACTGACAAGGACAGAGCCAAATTATATCATTCTGAAGGTTAAGTTTTTATTATTTATGACCTTAACTCTTCAGAAAAAAAAGATTAAAATGGTAACTAGAGAACTAGAAAAAAGTAACCACTAAGCAACCCATTGTGTCCTAGGTTTCTTGAAGGTGAAGATTGTCTGGATACCTTTTTTGGCGTGTTCTAAGAATTTTTCTCTACATATAGTAGTTTAGCCACCATTTTTCTTCCATGTGCCAAAATCTTAATTAGTATTATTTATGCTGTACCATTTTGGCCTTTCATCAACATAGTGATACACACACACACACACACACATCTCTTTTTCATAATGGGGAAAACTCAGTGGTTAATACATTGTTCAAGATCACTTAGCTATGTAACTGTTGTTTGAATAGGAACGGCCCCCATAGACTCCTGTATTTGAATGTTTGGGCACCAGGGAGTGGCACTGCTTACTATATTTGGCCTAGTTGGAGGAAGGGTATCATTGACTTTGAGGTTTCAAATGTTCAAGGCAGGTCCAGTGTCTCTTGCTGCCTGCTGATCCAGATGTAGAACTTAAATGTTTTCTTTACAAGAGTATCCGTGGTCATGGAGTCTCTTCACAGCAATAAAATCTTAACTAGGACAGTAGACTAAAATGGAAATGCATTAAAAGATTGTTTTAAGTCAAGAACTGAATTCCCAAGAGGGTATATCAATTTAATTTTTCTTAACTTTACCCATTTATTTTTTTCTTCTAAGACCCCAACTCTGCAAATATTTGAGAGATGACATTGTATTGTGTTTATTTTGCTTAAAATGAAAGAATTTAAAGGACTATCTATATTTTGAATTTATGTACCTTTTTTGGTCTGTTTTTAATGGCTAAAATAAGAGCTTGTAGAGAACATGCAGT